TATTTCTCTTAAAGTCGATTTACACGAAAGTGTTTTTCAATAATTTTTAAATATTTATCTTTATGTATTATAAATATTTGTAAATAATCTAGAAAAGAAAAAAAAAAAAAATATATATATATATATATATATATATATATATATATATATAAGAATTCAATAAATTTCTGTAGATTATTTCATAATTTATATAATTTTTTTTTTTTAATTTTTGTAAAATTGAATTCACGTGTAAATATTGATATATTGATAGATTAATTTCTAATAAGATTTCGTCTTTACCCAATTGTTTTAACAATATCACTTTCAACCGCTTGAAAGAAAAAAAATTTTCTCAAAGAAAATATATTAGTGAAATTTTTTATGATTAATTTTCCATATTTTATAAGCCTTTATGCAGAAATTTTACATATAATAAAATAGTTAAGACTTATCGTAAAACGAAAGTTATTAAATAAGTGCTGTGGTAATTGATGTGCAAGTTAATTCCCATAAGATTAAATTAAATAGACGCAAGATTTAATCAAGTAGACATAAAAGCTCATCAAAATATTATCAGTACCATTGGTATTTAATTTACTGACTTAACACTTTCATAAGTATGTTCCTTTAATTAATTGTAAAGACCATATTTTGAAAACTTTTTTATAATATAAATTACATAAACATTTATTGTTGCGATTAGATATTGATAAATACAAGATCATCTATAGTATTCCAATTATAAAATTGCCAAAAGTATATAAATTTATAATGCATAAATAATATATTTATTTATAACTAAATAGTACTTACTGATTGAAGAAAGTTCTAATTGGTTTATTTTTCACTCTCAATGATCTTTGTAATAATTCTTTTTAAAATAGCAACTCGAATACTTGAGTATGTGTCAACGTACTACTACAATACTGATTCACAAAAGTTATAAAGAATTCTAATTATTTCTGCTATATTGACGTAGGTCGAAAAAAAAAAACTATTTCTTTAGATTTTTATTATGAATGAAATAATTTACCAAGAAGTTGTAAAAGAAATTGGATGAAATATTTAAATGATAATGGGATCTATAATCAATATTCAGGAAATGAAAATGAAAATGGTATTATATAGCATTGAATAGTCTAATAAATTTTTACATGACAAGGATTTTGGAATGATGTAATTAATCAATAAAAGATCATTTTTATCAAATTTAATCGTTATTGTTACTGATTCTGAAATAAAGAGCTTGTAAAATAAATTCATATGATTGCCTATGCATTCAATATTCCTTTATTCAATAACAGTTGTAACTTACAATTGTCAATAGTTGTCTTCTGCAACTGACTTCTTTAATATTTTCACACAATATTTATTGTGATTTTTTTCATTAAAATTATATATAAGAATATAATGTGGCATAAGCTTTAGTATCACAGTTGTTTCTATTGTGAAAAAAGAAAAACTAATTATTATATATTATTATATTATTTTATAAGCAGTATAAGTAATCATTTATAATGCATAAATTATAAAGCTGATAAATTTCCATTTACAAATAAAGGCGCATTGATTTAATAATGAGATAAAACTCGATATAAAAAGCATTTAAAGACAGTTTTTATATAATATAGAAGATTTTACTGAATTTGTCAATACAACATTATTTCTACTTCATAATTCTAAAGTACGTTATCTATAGTTATTATGATTTTTAAAAATATTGCATACGCTATCTTTTTTTTTTTTTTTTTTTTTTTTTTTTTTTTTTTTTTTTTTGTTAGGTTTTTTTATATATCATTAAATATAGCTTATATGTAAAATGTTTGGTGATGTATGAACTTGCAATAGTGTGGTAAACACTCAAAACCATTCTCAACAAATATTCCATGGATATAAATAAATTAGATGGAATTAGATTTTAAATTATAATTCTTCTAACCTAAGATGAAAATGTGATATTTTTTATTGTACGCAACATTATAAATTATAATACTTTCTGGCTGTGACTCGCTCAAAATTAATAAAAATTAGAAAAAAATTGCATATACATCGATCTTATTGAATATTTCGTTACAAACAATACTTTTATTTATTTTTCACTTGTCAATATTTTACACAGATTGTTTAATATATATCATAATTATATAATAATTATATATTCACTTATTCGTTTTTAATACTCGTGAAGAAAAAGTTAATAATAAGTTGATTAAAAGTAGAAATATTTATATAACCTTGTTAAACTGTAAATATCCTTAATAAATATTATAAAAAAGTTTATGGCATTTAATTAAATTACAAAAATTGATCACTTTTCATAATATTAATTAATTCATATTATTCAATTTATTTAAAATATATTAAGTAAGATCATTAATATTCAAATTGAAATTTAAGATTTGATTTATATTTAATTATAAGATTGAATTGTTTAATAAATCTAGCAGTTCAAAATTTAACAAAAACATTTGTTTGTACTCTACATTCTTTAAATATAACTTAGCATTATTCTTTCGTGATTGCTTTTTATAATTTTATTCTGAATTTTAAAAATTTCATAGAATCATTATCATATACATTATTTAATTACTCCTATAATTAATAATTTTCCTCAAAAAAGACCATCCATTTTAAAAGTCTCTTTGTTCGAATAAATTGTAAATTTCCAATTAAGCGAACATTAAGTTCTAGTTTATATGGAATGTATTTTAATTGCGGTTATTTTTTTAAAATCCTATGTTACTTTTCACAATTTTTTAGTAATCAATGAAACTCTGACAGAACGTATTCATTTAATATTAATGATTCAAATATTTTTATTAATTTTTTCAGAAATAGCATGTGCATATAAAAGTTAAGATAAATTCGTTAATTTTGTTATGTAAATTTTACAATTGCATAACTAATTGCAAGAAATCAAGAATCTGATAGATAAAATAATATATTATCTTGGCTAAAATTATGGTAAAGAAGGTCATTCATTCCCGTTTTGTATAATATGTTGTGACATTTTCTGTTCAATTTGAAGAAACAATAAGCTATTGAATTTAAGGGTTACACGCTTTCCTTCTTTATTTACATAGCCTATCTCTATCTATCATTATTTTGAAAATTTTCTCAGTCTACTTTCACATTTTATCTTTTGAATTATTTATTTCTCTGTGAGATTGTTCTTTGTTTGATTCATTCTATTTTACTTTCCATTCTGGTTGTGTTTTTATACTTTTTTATGCTCTCATCGTTATTAATGCTTTAAAAATATTAACCATGTAATCATCGCTAAAATAATAATGTGTCATTAAATAAATAATACATATAAATATGTTATTGGTATCATAAACTAAATAATATAACTGAGCTGCATATAGTTATTCAATAAACATTACTAAAGTAAGTTTTTAAAAAACTTTTTAACTTCAGATTAAAAGCACATAAATATTATTAACATCAAATGGAAAATTCTAGTGCCGCGCTGGGAATAAAAGGAAAGAAAATTAAATTTCTAATCGATCTGATTATCTTTAAATTAAAATTAAGCAAATTAATTTGTATTACCTTTTAAATTTAAATTTGAATACATTCCTAGAAAACAAATAGTACAAATTGATAATTATGTTCTAAAATCAAATGAAACAATTATTTACATTAGAGTTTTATTGAAAATAGGAAATCTAATTAAATTACTCAGCTAAATAAAGCCATAAATGAAATACCTTTTAAATACAGTAAATAAATTAAACATATTAAATAATAAATATATTTTGTACCTACATACATCTATAAACGTATATTATATAAAATACAAAATATATATTTTTCTCCAACTATATGTAAATATTATTTTCAAAATAGACCAAGAATATATATAGGTATGATAAAACCATGTTAAAAGTTACAAGTAGTTTTTCCACATATATATATATATATATCGTATTTAAGAAATCTTAAAAATTAATTAACAAACTATACCTGATACAATATAAAGAATTATAATCACATATTCTACATATAAGACATTTTATTAATTGTTTTTAGTGAAATAAAAGTAGTGAGTTTCTTTAAAGATGAAGAATCAGAATATAAGAAGAAACTAAATAATAATAATAATCACAGTATTAGTATTATCATCGACTATATTGTGTAAATAATCTCATATAATGTTCTCGAAAGATGGGACGGGAAATGTAACGGTAACATTTATGGACACTGATATACATATTTAATTATTATTTTTATACATCTAGTGAGAACTTTGGGCTAACCTTTTATATTAATGACTTAATTTATCACTTAACAATAAAACGAATATCGTTATTTTATTAATATTTTTCTGTTTGTTATAATGAAGGTAAGGTGTAAAATTATTATTATGACATAATTATTATGATTGTGATTTTAAGTCTATTCACAAACAAACCCCCTCCCCCTCCACCAATGCTGTATTTGTCAGATCGACTTTTATGCGTATGTGTACCCGTTGGTACACATACAGCCTATAAAACGATATAATTTTTTTAATTAAAGCAAACATTATTTAATCAAAGCACTTAATTTGCAATATATACTATAATTGATATAATTAAGTTATAGAATATTTCGACTTTTACATTCAAACAGGCATATAAGCGATATATTAAATTGTACATGATATAATATAATAATGACGTTTTATTATATTTGTCTATATTCAATAAATTACGTGCCAACCGGGACACGATCAATTTTACCTACGTTTATAGAAATCTTTATATGCATTGATAGAAAATTTATAAAAGTAACATGAAAGTATCACGATTAAATATGGCATAATATTAAAAATGTTTGCATCAATTTTTCTATACGATTAGCATCATGAAGGCACACGCGCGCACACACAAGCAAACACGTATATCAAATGAAACGATAACGATAATGGTGCATTTGATTTTGTACTAATTTGAAAAACGTAAAACTTACTACGCTACTTTGGCTCAATAATCCTAATAATTAATGTTCGCACTCGCAAACCGTGCCTACAGGTAATTTCCGAGTACTGCAGAACTAGGCTACAGTCACGCCCCTTCACGCACATCGTCATGGACATGTATCGTGAGGTAGTTCGATCAACCCAGTACGCAGCGAGAAAACGCGCTGTGCTTCAACCGACGAAAATACTACCACCCATACCAATTCAGCAGCATCAGCAGCAACAGCAGCAACAGCAGAAACAGCAGCAACAGCAGCAACAGCAGCAACAGCAACAACAGCAACAACATTCCGTGGCAATGAATGCCGTCCCGACGCGGCAGAATCCGCCGCCGTTTATGCAGCAGATGATTCAACATCAGCAACTGCCACAACAGCAGCAACAGCCGAGGCACCGAGGCAAGGGGATGGTTTTTCGGGTGCAATCGAGGAATTCGAGATCCCAGCCAAACCTCCTCAGCATGTCTAATTCAGATGGCAGACATGGCTCTAGGACAAACGTCGACGACGGCAGCTACGGCTACATCGTAGACCCTCATCCCCGTCATCAGCACGTGCGCACCAATTCCCAACCCGAGTGCTGTATGGAACGAGGTATGCCGAGTCTCGAATATTTGCGATGTTTTCTCTTATCAGTGTCGGTGCGATGCGCGATCCCGACGCACCCGTCATTTTTGCGAGAATGTATGATGAGGGAAAGCGAGAGAGAACGACCAAAAATGACGAACAATGTAGGGGAAAAGGAGGAGAAAATTTTAAAGAGGATTACAGGTATTACTTAGCGAATTATTTTATGTTTTAGATGTAAGGAGTAATAGGACGCTTTTTTTTTCATATTTACGTCGATATTAAGTGCTTGGACTTTTAGCATTGACGTATTATCTGATATTTGAAGAAAAAAACACAAACCAAAAAAAAAAGCCAAAATACAAAATTAAAATCAACGATGAATAAAAGAAAATAATATAAAATTATCCTACTCCATAATTTCGTATTCTTCTTCTATTATTACGTCATAATTCCAAGCTCAATACATTCTTATTACACATAGTTAATAACACGAGAATATGAAAAATCATTGCATGCCATTTTTGAAAATAATTAATATTTTATTAATATTATATATAATTTTATATAATATTATTTTTTATAATGAAACGGATCATTTTATGACATTTTCGTAACAAGTAATTGCACTCTATGACAAACAGCCGATTATTGCGTTCGCGTTGGATAATCATTTTATTAAAAATCGAAACAAAAAAAACAAAAAACAAAAAAAAATCAAAAAAAAAAAAAAACGTCATTGTTCATCCTTTTAAAAACAATATTTTAATTCAATTTTTGTAAAAATTATGACTTATAAAGGAACGTAAATTAATTACATAATTTCTTTTCTCAATATTCCTCACATTCATAACTAACTTTTAATATGTATTTACAATTTTTAAATAATAGTTTATTCTTTGCTTATAAATCATGATGGATTCATGTAATTAATTTATCATTGATGAGTTCGTATTAATTGTAAATAATGCTTTTGGAAAGAATGGCGTAGACTGGTAACCAGAAACTAGCAGTTCGATCAAGATTTAACGCTTTTCAAGTACACAAAATTTACTATCGTATATCAAGGGGGAAAAAAATGGTCAAACGCTACATAATAAAAAATCGACGAATTATTAAATGAAAAGGTTTTTCAATAATGAACAGTTTCGTTTTAGTTTCACAGCAACTTTTCGCTATTTACCTGAAATTATTACGTTTCCTCCTATCGCTCGTTTCTTGTTGACGTTTAATAGCCGAATGAATACATCGATATAATTCGAATAAATAAAAATAAATAAATTGTTGTTATTCAACGTTGTTATTGAACAAGCAACGTTCGATATTATCATAAGATGAATGGAGAAAAATTTTTAAATTTCATACTAATCAAATAATCGTGAAAAATGCATTAAATACGTAGCAAATACGTAGCAAAAAAGCGATAGATGTCAAATGTAATATGTTTATAATAAATTCAGCATATGAAAAATACATTAACGTTTTTTTCTCTTTAAACATTATTTAACACAATAATTTAATGTCCTTGAAATTATTAACATTCCATCCACTTAATCTAGTCGGAATACAATTTTCTCTGGTATTTTAATCTTATGAGAGCACTAAAACTATAAGATTAATTATTTGCGAACCCATTAAAATAAAGAAATTTTACAATTTCCTTTTAATATTAACGTAAAATATTACATATTTTCGGTCTTACTTACGTCGTGTTATTCTCACGCATATATTATTACTTAATATAATGAAACGAGTAAATACGTATATAATTACACTGTATAATGCCCTGTGTAATACGAAAATAATATTCATTCGCTCACATTTATTAAAGATTGGCATTTTATGATCAATAAAAATATTTATCTATAATCACAGGTACGTAAGTACGCGTGTACCTAGACATGTATATATATATATATATATATATAGACCGTTGTCATTCATCTACGTTATAATTTTCTCCATAATTATAATAATACGCCTAGGTAAATATTTACATGTAATTATAATTAAAATGAACTTGTATTTGCTATGTTTAATGTTTAATATACAATGTATAAGGTTTGCAAAATTGCTCGTCATAAGTGTACAAAATTTACAAATTTATTACAACAAATGCCAATGAAACGCGTATATCGTTTTTTTTGTTTTTTTGCAATTATGGCTGCTGTCATTGTAAACGCCATGCTGTACCGATAATGTTCGTCGCGAGTACGCGATGCATAAATCTACAGGGAACATACTTATATATTTTCCAAAGGAGCTTTGCTAGATATTTCCTTGATGCGACTAATCAGTACCATTCGTCGAATAAAGTGCCCGGCGCTGCCTCCGCACAACGAGTAACCCCCCCCCCCGAGTCGCCTCGTATCCCCCTCATGCGCAATGCCCGATATAAGAAAAGGCAAGAGGATGTAAAATAAAAAATAAAAAATAAAAAAAATGGCTAATCTCGCAGGTGCGGGCACGACGATACCGCAGGTGAGGAGCAGCAGCAATCTGGCAGCGATGAGTGCTGCGGTGTCGGCAGCCGATGCACGGAACGCCAAGAATCCGTTTTACGGGGAGCCGATTTACGCGATGCCAGTGAAGCCGTTCCTTAGTTCTCAGGATGTGAGCAAAGCTAACGCGGCCACGAGGCAATTCCAGCGAACGGAAGCTCGTGTGGCTCACCAAGCGGCGGCCATTGCGCGCAATCGTTGCGGAAAAGCCGAGGCGCAGTCGAGCCTCCCGCGCCTGGACAGTGACCTTTGTCCGGGACAGACACCAATGGCCAAGATGCAGGTGAGAAATCATTTAGTGGATGGCTCTTTGACATTTTCATTTCATGCCATTGCAAATTAATCCTTTGCCAATTATCCTCTAATCTTTGCGTGTATGTTGACATATCACGACGCTAATAAGCTCGTCATACATGCAAATATCCATATAATTTAGAATTTTAATGTAAATTTATACAAAATATTCCATGAAATCGTCGTTGAATATCGATGGCTTTACTCTCTCTCTCTCTCTCTCTCTCTCTCTCTCTCTCTCTCTCTCTCTAATCTTTGCTATAATCATTTCTATAAAGTGAGATAAAATGATAAATTTTGATGAAATGTATTTTATAAATAAAGAGAGTAAAAATAATTTAATAGGCTCAAAAGCTATTTATCACTTTTCGGAGTTCATCCTTCAACGCTCTCGTTGAAAAATAATATCTTCAATAACGTCGGAATAGCAAATCTCGGAGCCACGGTTTAATAATACAAAATACATCTTATTCTGAACAATGTAAAAATTTTTATAAATCTTATAATATCGACATTAATGCGCTAATTATTCAATATTTAAATAATTGGTATCGTGGATTATTTATTAATACGTTAATTGAAAGCTCACCTATTAAGGATTCGTGTATTTAGATTTATCCGTTAGAAAAACAGAATGTCTCAAGTGACACGTCCGCTATCAACTTAAGTTTAACGCTCTCGAGATTATTAAATGTCAACAAGATTATTCGAAAATTTAAAAAAAAAAAAAAAAAAACAGCTTGGCCACTAAAGTGCAAACTCGTGCTTTAATTCGAGTTATACGTTCGACATGAAAATTAAATGTTGTGCTCTTGCTCTCTTTGGCAACGGCGTTTGTCAAATTAGGAAAACGTCTATGGAAGCTCGACGAAGAACAACCTCGGGCCCGTTACCCTGCAGCGTCAGCACTCGAGTCCGCAATTTTCCTCGACTCATTGCAGCCAGGAACAAAAACTTTGGGATTTTGCGAATCCGCTTCCGGACACATGCGGTAACAACGTTGTGCCTCGTGCGCACAATGCTGCTGCAGACGCTAACATTGATACCCGGCAACGGGAGCAAAATCAACAGAAGTTAAAGCAATTGGAGCAAAAAGCGAATTCCGAGGGAAGGATTCCGTACGTGCCAAGGGGTCCACCACCCCCCAAGCCCCCACGTATAATAACGAGCTTGAAAAAGGCGGCGGCAGCCCAGGCGGCCTTGGACGCACAAGTCAGGGCTAACGTCAAGCCCCAAAGGTGAGATATCAAAGTACTATTTTTACGAAAGAGGTAAGTTTGATAAAGAGGAAAGAGGTAGGGTATTGCTACGTGTGATAATTATCGATTATTCGGTAGTGATCGTTATGCGAATGGAGTAGTAATGGAGGGCAAACCTGCCGTTATTTGTTAAGGTTCGCTGGCTCTTCTTTCTCACTTACTTATTTATAAAATAGCCAATAACGCCAAGACATTGAGATGAGCCTTGTATTCTAAAACTTATTATATACAAATTCCTAAGAGAAAATTAAAAAAGCAGGATTTTTTCTTTGAAGAAATAACGAATTTTCTTAGTAATATTAGGTATTGTGTTAGAATTTTTCGTTTTCATTAATAATGTTATAATGCATTAAGCAGTGGCGCAATTTATACAATAAAAATGGTCATTTCTAGCACATATCTAGTCATGCGTGCACGGCCAACCAAAGTTTACAATACATGACTCTGACACGAAACCTTTACAAACAAATAAAATAATTAAACTTTTCTAATCGTAGTATCGTAGTTTTATCGAACTAAATAATTCATGTATTTCTCTTCATCGCGGCATCTCGTTAGTCCGCCTATAAATATTAATATATAAAATGTCTCATTTGAAATAAGAAAGCATGAAAATTAAAAGACCATTTACAATAATAATAATAATAATAATAATAATAATAAATGTATAAATTAAAAAATACACTTTGCCATACCACAGCCACAAATAGTCGATTTATATTTCAGCAGAGTTGGAAGGTAATATTTATTTTAAATTACATTTATTGATTTTCTCAAAATTTTATGCATACAAGTGTGTGTGTGTGTGTGTGTGTGTGTGTGCGTGTGTGCGTGTGTGCATATATATATATATATATATATAAGTCGATGATTAATGTTATGACAGAGTAACTTTCTACTTCAAAATTTTTATCCAAAATATTGATAATCGCACAATAAGGGTACAAATTAACTATATTATATAGCATATGGATCTTTAAAAATTATCAGAAATGATATTCGACTGTTTTATATGAATAATCTTTTTAAAAAAAGAAACTATTAAATTACTACGGTTTTTGCATTTACTCACTATATGACTCTATATATGGCTTATTTGAATTTTATCCAACTTTTATAAAATAAATGTTGTTTAAAATATAATTTGTTTGGTCGTAATAAAAGTCATAACTAGTCTTGCGTAATAAATTATTTTACAAAGTTATTAAACATTCATCGATAATGTGCGATAAAATGTCGTAATATTTAATCAAAATAATTAAAAACCTAATTCTTTCGTTTTAATAATAAATTATCGAATCACAAATGAAAATCTAATTATAGAAAAACGCAGAAATCCATTTTACATGGCTTTAAAATAATTATAATAAAAATATAAAATTTCTATCATTTTAATAATCATTAAAAAAAAAAAACTTTTTCCTTTTGCTCCTTTATTCATAATCATAATAACTATAATTCTTATGACTACATTATGAATCGAAACAATGTTGAATATTAGAAATAATAATACGAATAAAAGTTTTAATTAATATTCATTTAAAAAATATATTGATATTTCATTTCACACGAATATTTCATCACGACATAGCATAAACTCCGAATAATAGGAAATTTATACATTTTATATATTTAATCCAATCTACATTGCACGTTTGACTTAAAATGTACTTGCTCCTGTGTACTATTAAAGTATATTCTAATAAAACCACTTCTACGAGACAAAAATTTTGTTCCCATTTTAACAAAACAAAAATCTTCAATAATTGTAGCAAATATTAATTTTGAGTTTAAACGTCATTAAGAGGACGCGGAGATTCTCAATTTTCATAAAACATCACTTAGGATAACGAAGAAAGTTTCTGAAAACAAAATACATCACTTTATGCGATATATAACACCTTGACAACCGCTCGCGTAAAGTCAATTTTCTTCGACAAATATTTAAAAGGAAAACGAAGAAAAGAAAAAAAAAGAAAAGGGTTGTAGAGACGAGCTTACATTTTCTGTATTTGGCAGCTGTAAGAATCATAAAAAAAAAAATAAAAAAAAAAAAAAAAAAAAAATAAAAAACGGAAAATTGCCCGGAATTTTAACGCAGAAAATGTGTGACAAAAGCAAAACCTTAAAAAGACGAACGTTCGCGTAGCGAGGAGAAAGGTTTAATTAAACTCCTAGCAGTTAGTTAATGTTACGGCGTAATATTTCATGCGCAATTGGCGTTTGCGGCATTTAACTAGTTTTAGAATTACACTTTTCTTTTTTCCCTTTTTTCCCTTTTTTCCCTTTTTATCCCCGTATTTCTTTTTTTTTTTTTTTTTTTTTTTTTTTTTTTTTTTTTTTTTTTCTTTTTTTTTTGGAAAAATTACGAGAAAAGTTTAACTTCTTTTTTTTTTGGAAAAATTACGAGAAAAGTTTAACACTCTTCAACCAAAGGATGACGTAAAAATACAAATAATAAAACAAGTAGTTAAAAAAAAGTTCAAAGTACGCTTTATACAGCATAATTTGCATCTATATTAATTCCACACGCGCATTCGCCAAAAATAAAACGCTATCCGAAAGTAATTACGCTAATGCCACGCGATCTCTAACATGTACGACATATAATTTATACGCAACAATTAGAACTGCGATGTTTAATACCGAATATCATCCCCATCCTCGTCCCCGTGACCCAAGATATATGTCAATTCCAATGATTCCAAGAGACGTTATTACAGCCACGAGGTTACCCGCTATACGTCTCCACCATTATACTCGATTAGCTATATAGATTAACTATATTCATAAAATCGATTATTAATAAGGCTTTCTTCCGCCTCTTCTCTTCTTCATCTTCGAAGGGACTTGAAAAATGGACCGAGAGCTCGACGAGGTCGGGCGGTTCAGAGAGCTCCGTCGCGTCTTTACCGAACGGTAAATGGCTCGGCTCAGTCCTTCAATAAGACGCAATGCGTGGGACCGGAATTCGTCGTGCGGGCCAACCAGCCGGCAAAACTATTGACCGTGGGCGACTTCAAGGTAAGGCGCTATGATATTCAATGCTAATATACCAATGGTTAATGGTTAGGGCTAATGGTCCTTATGGCCACCCCGGCGCTTATGTTCTGCCCCACGTGCATCGCCAATCAAACCGATTCATCGTACAAATCCTTAAACAATAAAATATTCTTTTTACAAGCTCGTATGAAAATTACGATATCCGTGAAAATGCCTGGCTTGAGCAATGCTGACTGTAATCTATCTATACAACCCACATGCAACAATTAACCAATCTTCCAGAATAATCCATAAATGTATAAAAAAATTAATATCTATTTTAATATCTATTTACCTTATTCAATACTCAATATATTATTTAAGTACATTTTCGACATTGTGTCGATTGACCTGATGATGCAAATTTTAACTCTAAAGATATTTTTTAATTACGATATATTACGCCGGCCTAATTGTGTTTTTCAAGACATATATTTTAAAAATTATATTTGAAATGTATTTTAAAAAATAGAAAAATATATGTAAAAAAAATAATAAATAAATAAATTAATAAATAATAACTACTTGTTTAATAAACTAACTATAAGGTCAAATTATTAATTATATTTACAAAATATCTTTAAGAAATATTTTGAAAAATTAATCTAAATAAAATAAAAATACCTAATCCTTGTTAAATCAAGCTATAAAGTAAAATAATTCAATAAACAAAAAAATTATATTTTAAAAATAATTATAATCATTGAATTGAATGAAACTATAAACTAAAAAGTAATGATAAATGGAGGGGCGGGGGGGGGAAAAAAAATCTTCCGGTACCGGGAATCGAACCCGAGCCTTCTGGGTGAAAGCCAGATATCCTAGCCACTAGACCATACCGGATTCTTGTAATATAATGTTTTCGGAGACTCTTAACCTAGTCATTTACTCTGAAAATTGCATAAAATAACTTTTGTATTTTTTTAAATCATAAGCAAATATTTATAAAATGTATATATAAATTATACTGATTAAGTAGCAATTGAATTACCTCATTTGATATCTATTTTTATATGTACATTACAATAAATTATACAATTGTTTAATATTATTAGACCTTATAATAATATTTACAAAATTTTATGCATTCCTTAACTATTATAATTTGAAATTAGAAAATTTTTAAACAATATTAAACAAGAAACCAATTTATCTAAATGATTTTAAATAACTTAGTAAGTGCATAAATATATCGAATCCATTAGTTTTTGCGTTATTATTTAATATTGAGCTTTACATTATTTTTAAACAAACCATCTTATCCACAGCTTAACCACAGCTATCAAAAGTAATATAAGAGATAATGTAATATTCTTAGTTAATAAAACAAATTTTTCTTTTTTCATATTTTTATAATAAAAATATATGAAGATTAAATGAAGCTTTATTTAAATATTTCAAAATAAATTCATGTCACAATAACCGAGACAATAAAGGAAAGCATATATTTTTTATTATTTTTATATTATATGTATATACATATGTGTGTGTACACACATATATATATATATATATATATATATATATATATATATATATTTATGCACTTTTATTTAAATTTAATATACATTAAAAACTTAACTCACCATAATTTTCTATTTTCTATTCGTAATTATATTTTTATTTTTTTTTTTTTTTTTTTTTTTTTTTTTTTTTCAATACTATCCTACTCTACTGAGAGCATTTGTAGAAAGAATTATCGCAATTAAATTATATGATATTGTATATAAAAATTATTGATTCGTAAGAAAAATATCCAAATTATTGTTATCACATAGCTACTTATATTGATACGATAACGACATAATAGATTATTTTAAATGAATAAATTAATAATTGTCGTAGGTGAACAACATTGGCCGGTTAACAGTAATTCTTCTGACTGGTCAGCGGCTCGAAGTCACCTGCGATCCGCAAAAGATTACCGCTGGTGAACTCTTTCACGTAAGTTTATTATATTCATGTTGCGATAATGATTTAATGCGACAGCTTTCATATTATAATGTTTAGGGAAAATATTGAATCCTTTGCTCAATTTCGTGGTCATTATTAATAATAATTACTTTAACGCTGTTTAATAATAACTTCTATATATATATATCAATATGTATTGATTAAACAAAATAAGTGAAGTGATTATTCATTAGACAATGCAATATATAAAAATTTAGTTATATTAAGTAAGTGCACTTCACAACGATAGCTCACGCAACGGGCATAAAGACGATTAAGCAGCATTATCATTAATAAATATAATAGGAGACGATTAATTTTTTTCAACTTGAATAGAGAGAAATGAAAGTTTGATTCAATTTTTATATTTAAAATGAACAGTTAATATCCTTTGACGAAAATTGATTGACCATTTACGTAATTTTCTTACATAATATTGAATTTAGATTGAGTTGAAATGGTATTTTACACATCGAATTATTTGATTTCTTTTATTTATTTATTTTTTTATTTTTTTATTTTATTTTCTTTTTTCTTTTTTCTTCAAATTAATTTCCGACATTGGCAGTTCGATAAATTAAATAAATTAAATTGTAAGCATTACTACGATAATTTTATTTATTGTTTTAAAATTTTTTTATCAATAATAGCATGACTATTAATGACATAATTATAATAGCTTAATCTTATTACTAAAATTCGTCTCTAAATACTTACGCTTTGTACATACAGTTTACGGTAATGATGGAGAAAGTAAAAAAATTTTCTCTAAAATTTTGAATTATAAAATATAAATACTAAATCAATAATAATTTTTATTAAAAAAAAAAAAAAAAAAAAAAAAAAAAAAAAAAAAATAAAAATATAATTACGAATAGAAAAGGAATAATTTTTCAAGTAAAGACATATATTTTATTTAAAGTACGTGAAATTGAATTTAACATCTTTTTGGCGAAATAAGTATATAGAAAATAATTTGTAGATATCAGTATGTTATTCGCTTGATTATTATATCATAAATGCGGTAAGAAGTAATTAAAAATTATTTTGACAAAAATATTCATATCCGACGTGCTATCGATTATATCAAAATTAATAATAAATAATTCAGATATTATGATTAACATTATATGCCACAGTTTTATATTTGATCATTAGATTTTAATTTACCAACATATGTGTGATGATATCGGCATAAATATTATCATTTATAAAATTGAATTGCAAAAAATGTTTAAATGATTTATATGAAATAATTGCTGTTAATAATGTGACTTCGATTTTATCTTAATTAATAAGAAGCACTTGACATTTAAAACTTTATATCATGGCTAATTAAACAATATAATAGTATCTTATTGAATTATCATAAATAAAACGAAAAATTAAATTTACAGGCAATTGTACAAATGGAAGTTATTGAAGAAAATTTCACGCTAGGGTTGGCAGCTTTGCTAGCTGGAGATTTTGCAATACTTCCTTCCGATACAAAATTAAATAAAGTCGCACCCGCCGGTTGGCTAAATAGTGGCAAGAACAAAGGTTTATTAGGTCTTCCAACGAGCTTTATGCTATACCTGAGGCTCCGGTTTTTCTTACCGTCCCTTCGAGGAATAAGGTACCATCCTATATTAATTCATCAATATTTATTATAAATCAACGTAGTTTGCTAATTAATCGTTTCTCTAATAATACTTAACTCTGTAGCTATAAAGTAAAATAGAAATAAAAAATTTAAATGACAAATATTTGCGAACAAATGTCTTTATAATGGACTATTTTCACGGAAATTATTCGCTCGTGTTGCACCGCTACCTACAACACCAATGTAAAAAACCAATGATAACAACAATAATTTATTAGTAGCTATATTACAGAGCTAATCAATACTGAGAATAATAAATATATTTATTCACACAGAGGCTGGATTCCAAAGCATCTGTTATATTTGCAAATTCGACGTTGCATATTAGAACAGCAATTGATCTGTCCTCTAACGCAGCTGATTAATCTCACTGGACTCGCTCTCCAGGCCGAATTTGGCAATTACAGTGCCAACGTAAGTAATGACGACGACATCCATTATAGCTGCTTAGATGAGGTATCGTTAGCCACGAATTTTTACATCCTTACTTTACAGCTTTTTAGATTTAACATAAAATTATTTAATAATACATAAGAATAAGAATAAGAATAAGAATAAGAATAATAAAATAAAAATAATAATAACAATAAATACATAATACGAATAAGAAATTAATCTTAATTGCGCGCAAACGCTCGCTGCTCTTTTCATGCTAACTAAAGAGAAAAAGTTTATATCGTTGAATAATACATTACACACCCCTTCCCCTTCCACTACCCCCACGCAGCATACAAATCATAATTTATCATAATAGTATCGAATGTAGTGTAAAAATAATAAATAATTCATTATTTTATTGTTTTACTACCCCCCCCCCCAACCAATATTATATTTGCATGTGTGTGTATAAATAATGTATACAAATATGCATAAAGTAAATAAAGTGGGTTAAAAAAAACTTCCGATACCGGGAATCGAACCCGAGCCTCCTGGGTGAGAGCCAGGTATCCTAGCCACTAGACCATACCGGATATGTCTGTTATTTATATATACGGGATAATTTATAAATTATAATATATATATATATATATATATATATATATATATATAAAATAATTTTTTATTTTAATGCACAGGCATAATTGCATATGCAATTTCTTTTAAAAATAATATTAAATTTTAAGAAATGAAAATGTATTATCTAACTGACCATTAATTAAAAGTAATTTTAATGCAATGTGCCAAGTATTCTTATCAATAATTCAAATTATTCAAGCCATAAAAATTATTTCGCAAATACATCAAATTCTGAGTTCAATTGAATTTACTATAGATAGGAACAAAGTTTTATCATAGCTTAGAACTAATCCTAAGTTTGTAATAAAAATTTTATTATTTGCTATAACGCGAATTGCAAAAATAAACGTGGAAAATTATTTCAAATACAATATTATATCTGAATATTATAATATTAAATATCGTATCGTAAGTTATTAAAAGCAATTGATATTTTATAATGTAAGCCAAATAGATTTTTCGATGCTCGAAAGACGAAAAAACAATTTACATAATTATTATTAATATTTTTAGGATAAACGATCAAATTATCCTCTAAATTAGCGATTATTTATTTTTAATTTAATTTCCAAGTTAACTTTCGTTCAATTTATAATAAATATAGGGCAAAATAATTAGCAATAAAACTAAAATAATTTTCCATTATCTTATATATATTTTGAAGAATAATATTAATTAGAATGCTAACGGCACAATATGACAGCAATAACAACAACAATAGCAATTTTACTTACAGTTATAATATTTATTGTAATAAGTTAAGAGTATGGCCACACATTTTTTAAAGATACATGCTCGGTATACTTAATAATTGCAATTCCATCAGTGCAATAATATCGAGTAACTCAAAAGGCTTCGTATGTTACCGTTCAAATTTATTTTTATAGAAACTCGCACTGAAATTTAATGCTACACTTACATACTTTTATGTTAATGAAAAATTGAAAGTCAATGTATGACTTTGCGACAATAACGTTATGACGAATGTCAATATCTCAATGCGTCAGCGAGCCCTCGTCGAGTCGACTAATTATGTGGTATTTCAACTTTTTGTTAACTTCGCTGGTAAACAGGAGCACGGCTGCGGCGACTACTTCCTGCTGGAGCACTACGTTCCCGAGTCTCTCATCCTGAATTCAGAGGAGCAACAGTACCGACATCCGCAGTTGCCGGACAGCGGCGAGGCGCTGCGTAAACGACTGCAGCAAGCGCATCGCGAGCGCAGGGGCTTGGACGCCAATAAAGCCGAGGAGATGTTCGTCGTGCATGCCCAGTCGTTAACCGATTACGGGGCTCACTATTACATTGCCACGGTGGACACAAAGGAGCTCGGCAAGCTTGTTGCCCGGCAAAAAAAGTGCGCCGATCAAAATCTGCAGGTGAGCAAACTTAATTACCTTGTACGACTATCCTAAAACCCCCCCCCAACCCCCACCCCCCAACCCCCACCCCTCAACCCCCAACCCCCATCCCCCTCCCCAATCGCTCCATTCTACCTACAACCACCCCCATTATTAGCCGGTATTACTCGGTATCGCTTAAATGAGTATTAATACTTCGATACAATCTCGTTATTGATTGATCTTAAATATCAAAACAATCAAACAATCTCGTTAATTGATCCTATAAAGCGGCAAGATTGCTGCAAAAGGTTGTAATTTACAAATGACATTGTTATCGTCCTGTTGGTAAAACTTAATTTGACAGCGTCTCTCCGTAATCTTCTTCAAGCTTTAACAATACACATACATCACTTTCTTATCTATCCGGATAAACAACATCATTGATTATCGATTATCAGAGAAATTATTTTTGCTCGATAGTCATTAAAAAAAAACGTGTAATAATAAACAATCTCTTGTAAAATGTTGATTAGCATAATGAAAGGTATCTCGAACGAAATTATACTCGAGTATCATCAGACACTTGCGCATTGACACTTGCGCATTATTTTTCAGAATGAGCAGCAGCCGTGTCAGCAGATTTTTTATGCCGAATCGGAGAATATCTACGATATCGACAAGTTCTCCGATTATCCAATTTATGGTAAGATCGACTTTCATACCTCAACAAACATCCACGAGCAAAATCTCCAACGCAGTCCTTATACCGACGAGCAGAAGATAATGCTATCCAAGAGCCCAACAAACGTCACTCACGAAAGCTGCTCCACGCCGAGGAAAAGCATCGAGATTCAAAATAATAATAACAATAACAATAGAAGCCCGAGTAAAACGAGCAAATTCAAAAAGAACGAGAGTGACGTATGGCTGGCCATTCATTCGCAAGGACTAAAGGTCTTCGAGCGCGGTGCCAGATTACGGGAGAGGCTCGAGCTCGCGAAATTCCAGTGGAAGGACATTCAAACTTTGAGTTACGGCAAGAACTGTTTGGTGATTTATTCGCGGATCAGCGGCAAACGATGCAAATTCAAACTTAAAATGGACCACCGAAAGTACGTTGTTGTTGGGTTGCTTAAGATTTATTTATTTAATGGCATTGGACTTGATTGAATCTTTATTCGAGCAATTTATTCTTTAATTTCATTAAAGCCGAAAATGCATAATTTACATTATTATAATTGAAAATTGATCAAATTGATCAGAAAAATTGTAATGAAAATCAGTAATATACAAGATTGTAATGCAAAATTATCATTAGTTTTATTTTAAAAATAATTGTTGCGAATTATGACGTAATTATTAAACCATTTTTATTTAGATAGATAATTATTATATATTAATATTAGATGGATAAATATCGAAAGGAATAATAACTGCTCGAAATTTTGTATATTTGCTAAATCAATTAAATGTTTAAAATTTTAATGTTATTCGTTGATTTCTGTTTTTTTTTTTTTTTTTTTTTTTTTTTTTTTTTTTTACTTAGATATATTAATAAAAATCTTGGAAATTTTATGATTTTATGAGCAAGTTCGAAGTTATTTTAACAACATACTATGAGATTCATTCGAGTTTTATTGAGCTTTTGTGTTTTTTGTTTTTTTCTTTTTTTCTTTTTTTCTTTAAATAATCTTTCTCTATTGAATAAAATTGATCAAATTATCAATTTAACAATACATAAGTTTCTCATATTTCAAAATAATCTTATAATAATGAATTAATTAAATAATAATAATAATAATAATAATACACTAAGATATACTAATTTATTTATATTGTAGGAGCTACTACGCTTTTAAGTTAACATCTTTGCATCATCAATTTTTTCTGAAGCTTCGCTCAGAACTGACATCACTCCAAGGCTTAGTAAAGGGTACGAAATTACTTAAATTATGAATATCGTCACAAATGGAAATTAAATAGCTTAATTTTGACCATTAAGTAACAATACGTAACATATTGTTATTCTCTTAGACTTCGGTGTAGCACTGACAGCAGAGCCAAACCTACCGCCACTAAAAACTAAAGCCGAAAGTGCCAAAACCAAAATATCTATAGCCGATTCCGTGAAAAAGCATCAGGAATATAAATCAAAGTATCGAACGCGTCTCGAGGAGGAGCAAAACAAGGAGAATGAAAATCCCCTAAAAGTTTCCGAGAGTCACAAGTCCGCGAACGGCAAAGCGATCGATTCATCGATCAACGCGGATGAAAGTAATGCGCTATACGCACAAGTGAACGCGCGACTCGAGCCCGAAGGCGAGTCACGTGACACCGAGGATGAGGCCGATCGTGCTTTGATTATAAACGGAAAAATCTTAGGCTCGCCTAGCACTAATGCCTTTCATGCATACGAGCATACGAAGAACGACAGACTGTACAATTACGCAAATATCGGTGTTCCTTATGGAAGCGAGAAGGAGGAGTATGTTTATACCATTCCCAAACCCTATTCTACGAATGACATTGATCGGCTCAATGAAAAGATGGAAAATCCAGAGGATTTGTATACTGCTATTAATAAGTCGAGCTTTCCGAAGAAAACGAAATTGCCAGGACATGTTGCCGAGGAATGGAAGGAAATTGAAATTCAGAAGACATTGAATAAGGTTGGTAAAGCAAAATTATCAAATGTTTATTATTTATAGTTATGTTTTTTTTTTTTTTTACTTTTGCCCGATCAAATGGAAAGGACGAAAGAAGCATTGTTTAAAAAGTGATTTTTTCATTGATTTTCATTAATTTTAAATAACTCTTGAATGTGATAAATACGAAAATTCTATTTACTTTATAGTCATTGCAATATAATATTCAAAACAAATGGTGGGTGAGTTAATTAACGACGGTCGGTTTAAGGACATCGATATCCTCCTAATCCAACATCATAAAATTATTATTGTTCTCTCTTATAAATACGTACCCACATAATATATCTATTATTTATAGATATAATATTAATTTTAATTAAAACTAAAAATAAACTATTTGATATATTCAATGCGCAAGATTAATTAAAATTAAATGAAATATATTTAAGTTGGTAAAATTGCAGCAAAAATCCATAATAACTATTTCATATATATTAATTCGGTACCTTAATGCATACGAATAAACGTGGCTTTATAAATATTAATAAGTGCAATCCGTACATTATTTTCGTATTTATTATTTTTCTTGCGTTACTAGTCGTTGAAGTAATATGGAACGCGTATTCGATTATAAAAACTTAGTCATTCGCGTGTACACGGAGACGTCGACACGCGTTGCGCAAATAGAAAAATAGATTGCCCCGATCCCTCGTTAGCGCAAAAATAGTTTTTTTTTTTTTTTTTGTTTTGGTTTTTTTTCCTTTTTCTTTTGACATTCTCATTATATTTTTTACAGGGATGAATTGTCGTTGACGTAAAAATAAAATATCTATGCCTAATGTCCATTATTACATGATCGACAGGCAATCAACGGCAAGTTTTATTGCACAGGTCATTGCTTTTCAGCCCAATTATTTATAATTGAGGCTATCGAATTTTATTTGTATTATGTTTATGGCAACAAGGTATTGTTTATAGTGATGCTGTGACGTCAATAAATTACCAGAATTTTGCACGATTAATTATAAAAACAAATCATCTCAAGCGTATATTGTAACCCCTTCATTCTAAACTAAATAAAATCCTTATTCTAGACCATTAAAGTACGCATTTTCTTTGCTAATTGAATGTACTGGAATTTCACGTCTAAAACATTGTCTAAATTGTCTCATTTGAAAGATTTAATCGAACAAAAGGAAATCAATTTCCACAGTTAGATACATGTTAAAGTAAATTATTGTTGACGATCCTTTATATATGTATATCCCCCATATGAATTGTTTAACACGATAATAAAATTTAATTTTTATCATTTTATGAAGAAAGAAATGCGACAAAATTTATTTCGGCAATTGCTTATTATTTTATGTATTAGTGTTAAGTAAGTGTTTAAATATAAGTGTTGAAGTAGTTAAACAAGTTTTTCGTACGAATATGAATGCTTACAAGAGCTCATCGATTACAAAGTTTATAATTATAATTATAAATAATGCTGTACGTTATTTTCGCTATTCACGATGGCGCGTTTGTAAATTTGAATTAAATTTATCGAACGAATCGATCGAGAGCTAAGATTTTTTTTACCATCATATGACCATTAAATATGGTAGTAGATTATTTCGGATATTATAAAAAAAAAAAAAAAAAAAAAAAAACAAACAATTACATTACAATGTGGACACAATGTGGACTTCGATCAATTTTCTTAACAAATTTGAAATACTTTGGCGGCTTTACGAGATCGAATTTGCGAATTCGATTGTTGCCAAAAGAGCTGTGTCAACGGTGAAATTGAACACGGTGAAGACGGCGACCGCGCTTGCTAAACAGAAATATTAGTAATAATTTGACGGGTGCACAATAAATAAAAGCCATCTAATTCGTTAATTTTTATCGTTTGATTTTTCTCGAAAGCCATAAGGAAATATTGGCGATGTTCTTGTCGTAAGTCACGAATTCACGGTATCGTCAAATCGCGTTAGTATTGTTCTAAAATATGAACGGATGTAAGAGTATCGATGAAAGTGAAAAGATGAATTGAAAGAAAATTGGTAATGATACTTCGACTCATCACAACCAACAGGAAAAATAAATAAAATATCTCTACGTACATATCTATGTAAATAAATAATTTTTCGCATATGTTTTTATGTATATGATGTAATAATAATAATTTAATAATAATAATAATAATGATGATGATGATGATAATGATAATGATAATAATAATAATAACAATAATAATAACAATAATAATAATGATAATGATAATAATAACAATAATAATATTTAACATAGAAGAAATAGTTTGTTCGTGTTGGAAATATACTCTCGTTCATGTATGTATTTTATTTTAGATTTTATTCATTGTATTTTAAATATGTATTATCATATAAAACGAAACGTATTGAACTACTTTATTTTAATACTATTTACAAATGAGAAGCTTATTAACACTTATTTTTATTGTTTAAAATATTTATAAAATATCTCACCTTATAGAATTTTAATGACCAAGTATAATTAGCGCAATTGAAAGCATATAAAATTATATAAAGTTACTTATTTCAGGTGAAAACGTCAAATTTACCGAATTACGATCCCATTCGACAGAATGAAAATCATGATTCTTCGAATAAGCCGTGCAACTTGGATGTTAAAGTGGACAGTAAAACGACGTATTCAACCCTTACAGAAAAGGACACTAATCCTGCCGATGCTTTGGAAACGGAATCGATACATTCGGCATCGGCAAAATCAACTGAATCTCCGATACCCGAAGCTTATGTACTTAGTAAGTATTACCCGCGCAAAATACACCTAAAAAGTATAATTTTTAAACCTAACAACCTTTTGCTTAATCGATAGCATTTAGTCAGTTATGGTATCATCACACCATTATGACACATTGCTTTCATAATTTTTCACCCCTTATTTATAAAATTAAAAAACCAATCAGACGCAGACATTCGAACATGCGAAGAGACCTTCCGAATACCGGATGAGACAATGTCGACGTCACTGATGGCAAGGCTGGATGAGCTGTCGTTCGACGAAGAGCGAATGTTGCGAACGATCAAGTTGGAAAGAGGACAAGGAGGTAGTATAGGCTTGCAAGTGACAGAAGGTAACGACGGTGGCGTTTATGTTCAGGCAGTATCAGTCGGGGGCTCCGCCGATATGGCTGGCAACGTAAACAAAGGTTAGTTTAATACTGTCGGTAAAAAGCATCGCTACTTAACCATGTGATGAGGATGTGAGAATAGACGGAACGAGAATGTTGGCTGTGAATTTCTTATCAAGTTTTTCGAATAACGTTGGGCAGTAGGATGGCTGGCTATGCACGAATGAATATTAAGAAATTGTTATAAAGATTTTGTAGAGTATCCATACGTTTTATGATGATGATTAATGGCGAATGCCATATCTTATGTATATATGTATGCTTTCTTTGTAGGTGACAGGATTGTAGCTATCAATGGGCAAAGTTTACTTAACTTTCGATACGAAGATGCCTTAAAAATGCTACAAAGTTCATCGGAAACAGTTGAACTTGTATTATCACAAATAGTGCTAATAAATAATTGTGACAATCGAGTCGAAGAGGCTAGCGAGAATAGCTACTTGCAGTGAGTATCTTATTTTAAATGTGTACATTTTGCTTACATTTTGACAGAAACATTTTACAAACGCTTACTGTCTCGGTAATTGTTCATTATAATTTTGGACTTTGCGACAAAAGCAACTTTTTACCAATAAAGATTTATTTAAGAATTATATTGAATTATAGAAATATAAGATTTAATGTATCTTCGGAGACAGAGACCGGAGTTATGTCCTCCAAATGGCTTCAAAAAACTATTGATGTTGTATCCGTACAAAATACATCTAGTGCTTATAGCAGTGCAGCGTCTAGTGCCATGGGAAACCATAATGCTAACAATTTATATGTACCCAATATCGATGAAACTAATGCAATTAATTCAGCCAGTATGCTATTGAGTTTAGAAGACTTCGATATTAGTAATTCGAGTACTCAACAAGTTTTTATATAATAACGTAAGTCTACACTGTATGCTTATATTAATTTATAAATTATCTTTTATAATAAAAATTCTTTGAATAAAAGAAAAAAATTCACGACAAAATTAGACTTGTGAAGAAAATATTCATATTTCATTCGCGTACAGCATGATTACCTACATAAATTACTTACGCAAATAATAGAATTCATTTTTATTTTGAAGATTACAATACAATATTTCTCGTATTATGTATATTTGCTTATTATTATCTAAACATCTAATACGATAAAGTTATATTTGCAAAATATTTTATATTTAATAAACTAACAATAATATTTATATGTTATAATGATATTTCAAATTGTTACTTACATCTATAAGACAATTTTTCCTATATTAATATCCTTGAAAGTGAATTATAATAAAATAAAAAATTTCTTTCATTAAAAATTTAAAAATTTACACAAAACTAATAACAATTATGAAACGTTTTATATCAATCTCTCTTGCTTCCATTGTTTCTTTTAAAACAGCTTCTTAAAAACTATAAAATTAAATATCTGTTACAGTGATGATCCAAGACATTAATTTTCTACCCTTAAATAATTTTTTTTATTAAAAACCTAGAAAAAATTCAATTGATTAGTTTTCAATTACTTAACCTATAAAGAGATGAATTGCTTGTGTGTAGCAAAAGTCATAATACATTCATTACGACATCTATCATGTTCAATTATTAATTATTAATTGACATTTGATATTGGCTATGTAATAATGGTATCTCTATGTATAAAAATCTTTGTTTAAAATGCAGTTTAATATGAAGAGGGGTGTAAACGATGGAATTACAAATACTCTCAATTTATAATCGAATTATTTTTATCCATTTAAAGAAGCCCCGATTGTAAAAATCGAAAGATTCAATTCAGTGCCGTAGACATTTATTATTATTTTTTTTATTTTAACATTAAATATCGTTAAAGTTTATTATTAAAAATTATAACATAGAATATATTAAATTTGATATGTAATTGAATATAAATCATTAAATAGAAAAAAGAATATTGATGATAAGACCCTTTCTTTTTGAAATTTAATCGTAATTATCTAATTTATAAAAAAAAAAAAAATATTTCTATATGATTTAATGAAAAGCCTCATAATTTTATTATATGAATATTTATTGAAAATTAATTGTTGTATTATTGTAATTTATAAATAATTATAAAATTATCTCAAACGAATCGTATTAAATGTGGATATATAATTTATATAATTACTCAAGAATGTAGAGATGGAACATATTAAAATTTTAATTTATACACATTTGAATATACACTTATTTATATTAATTGTATAACTCGAAAAATTGAAATAATTATTTCAAAAATAATAGAAATATCGTTATATACGAAATAGTTCATCTTAAAAATTAATTATTACAGATGCAAGAGTCTAATATTTTAGTATAATAATTTATGAGAACGGAATGCTCTATATTCTTACCTTTAATATTGAATGTTTGAAATAAAAAGGCAAAAGAGGTCGAATATCACTTCTAAGGTCTCAGCTACATTCTCTGAAAAGTCAGTTTACTGTCGTACGAGCCGCGCGTTTTTTACTTTTATCCTACGCTCCCTGTTTGGTGCAAATGTTTTCAAGTGCTATTTCCAAAATTTTCACGCTTTATCCATAAAATAAAAATTGTTTAAACTCGTTCAGTCGACGGCTTATTATGCAAAACAATTATAGTTACGTTGCCTACATAATTTACAGTGATAATAAACACACACACACACACACACACACACACGTATATATATATATATATATATTTATATATATATATATATATATGTATATATATGTATATATGTGTGCATATGCGTATTATATAAAATATATGTTGATAAAATGATTAATAAAAAATTTTAATTTTGTAATACAGATGGGTCTTCGTTACCACCGCCCGTACCGCCACGACGTAGGAAATGCACGCTTGAACCAAAACCAAAATGGTCATCTGTCACAGATCCTAATGCGTTAAAGCCTGAACGCAGTTATCGTACAATTACTTCACCTCCTCAACCAGCTGTGCCTCAACGAGTCAGAACTAAAAAAAAAGCATCGCCATCATTTGCAAATAATTATTGTTTGCCTACAATTAAAACTACAAACAATAATAGTCTTGAATGTGATTTTAGCAATCGTGCTGCAATATCAAAGGAGATTCTTTCGCAAAAGAGTGAAAATTTTCAGATACAAAATTTTAAAGCAAATGATGAAAAAGAAGTGGTGGTGGAGGAGGGGGAGGGGGAGGGGGATGAGGAGGAGGAGGAGGAGGAGGAAGAAATCGAAGATAAACTTGAACAGTACACGAAACAACGTGAGAATGAAAATGATTTAAAATTAAAGAAATTGACAAAAAGCCGCTACGTACCACTTTCCAAATCTCCCGAACCAAATAAATATCCATCTCTGTATTTTACTCTTGAAGATTATGAACAAGTCATGGAGGAATCGAGAAATCAACGTGATGTATTGATTCAAAAAGCATCCGAAGACGTTAATAAAAATGAAGATTCTTTGGTTTGTCCGTTTATGGAGAATACATCGTTTGACAACGATAGAGAAGAAATTTACTTTCATATTTCTACAACGAATAAACCCTTCGAAGAATGTCATCTTGCTTATTTGAACAATATCGACGATATAGATATCGATGGATGCAAAAACGATGACCATACTAGCTTACACATTTTTGAGGATTACATAAATCGATGTAATAGACTCCGAGCGATCAATGCGAGACCAACTTTACCATTCAATGATGATTTTTTTTTAACTACCGGGAGATATTGTGATAGTGCTTTAACCGAGAGATCTGGCACGAAAGTACGGTTTGTTATTGATTCTCCAAGTACATCTATTGATTCGAATCCGGCCGACTATCCTATGAATTACGAAAGGAATTTAGATAAACCATTACAAAGTTATGTGTTACCATTAGCCCGATTATTGGATAAAAATAACGATGATATTAATGAAAATATAGATAATTCATGTGGTAGAGTACATGGTATATTACGTAAGAATGAAAATATTGAAAATAAAAACATATCTGAGAATAATAATATGTTAAAAACAAATGACTTAAATAATTCGTCTAATGCGAATTTAAATAAAAGTGTTATAGATTTAACAGATACTGCTTATGTAGAAAGTCAGTCGAACGTTAAGGGAATTGATATGGATAAAAAGAATTTCGAATATAATTATTATGAATTGGAATCTCACCAAGTGAATGCCAACGACAAAGAATTGATAAATCAAGTGGAGGAACGTTTTAAGAAATTTAATGTCTACGTTACTCCAAACGAAGCCTGTCCAAAGGAGAGCTTAAACCAGTCGGATAACAATGATAAAGCAGCAGATAATATTTGTGACAATATTTTCCAAAGCATCGAAGGTACTAATGATGACATTCCTAATATTCCTAAAGAAAACGAGCAAATTGAGGAGTCATTTGATAAGCACGTACATGATATAACGAGCGTGGAAAAAAATTGTAGTAACAAAGTACTATTGAACGAGGCTTTATCGGCCTGTAAGAAATCAGTTGCTGTAAAAAGCTTAAATCGTAATAGCTTTTTAGAAGCGATGTTAAACGATAATCAGTTGTCTGAAAATTCATTGGACGCGCCGTCAATAAATTGTGAAATAATAGCCGCTCACCCTAAAGAAGAACCGAGCGTTCCAATAGATCGTCGGGATAATAAAAGAGCCATGCCAAACTCTGACCTTGAAATTAAATTAACGAATATTTCGCCCGAGGCAAAAATTCCAAGTAAAATCGATGTTACGCCGCTTAACAATAATAACAAATGTACCAGCGACATAAAAAACGACGTATTAAAGGAGCTTGTAAGCAATTTCAATGCTATTAGATTGAGATCGGTAAGCAATAATAATCATCAATCGAGGAAATCGAATGATTTGAGTAGGCACGATACCCTGGTGGAAAAATTCGTTCAAATGGAAAATGACAAAATGGATAAAATTAGAAATGAGCGGAAAGACGTGGAAAAAGAGAATGCGGATAAGAAAAATTCAAATGCTAATTTAATTTTGAATTCGATGCCTTTAGACAAGCATTGTTGCAAGATTAATGCTATTAATAAAGATACGTGTGCCATAGTAACAAAGACTGCAAATGCCCATTGTAATGCTAACGACAATAAGGCCACGACGACACCCGCCGTAGTTGTAAGTAACGACCAATTTCGTGAGGCTGTATCGATAACCCCCGGTAGTGTTAAGAGTTTCATTAAATATTATGAGATTCATAGCGAGATCAGTACTATATCTAAAATTATTAAGGATAATACATATAAAAAATTAAAACGTGAATTTATAGGAAAAGGCATTAGGGCTAATAGTGCCAAACAGCTCGCGAAGCCTGGCAATAATAACAAGAATATTTCAGATCCTAGTAGAACTTCAAATGCTGAGGTCTCGATAAAAGAGGATAAGAGGAGCAATGTCAATGATAAATTGAGCAATGACATTAGTGAATGTACTCCCGTGTCTTCGAATGATTCGAATGAAATTAAAAATTGTAATATTGAAAGGGAAAAAAGTGTACAGTTTAATAATGGACGTAGAGTCTTCAATCGTCTTAAGAAAGAGAGGCAAAAGTCCGCTGAAATGGAGGAAGGCACATTTTCATCATTTATTGGTGAAATTAAGACAAAGCTGAAAAGAAAGGCACCTACAAAGCCTAACGTTAAAATGAACGAAGAACCTAAAGGATTAAATTTAAATCAACGGCTTACCGACGACTCGGCCATTATTTGCATTCAAGTTAGTTCTCATTTAAGTTCAATAATGAAAATGTCATTTACTCAACGCTTAACGTTCTTTTGCTTTTTCTATTGCATACTATTATATAAATATTCTTTTGGTTATGCAATGATATTTGAAATGAACTCAATATCACTTAACACCTATAATCTAAAGATTTTACTCGTGGAATTTCGGTGGAATTTCCCTCAATGGTATAATTTTGATAAAAACCTAAAACCGTTGCTAAAATCAATTAACATATGCAAATTATAAGTATCGGATAATGTTTGAATGTCAATTAATACGATGCGTCAATTATGCGTCAATTATGCTGCAATTATGCGTCAATTATGCGTCAATTATGCGTCAATTATGCGCAAATACTATTGAAACAGCATTTTAAGTGAATAATTTTCAAACGTTACATTTTTATAATTTTATTCTCATACAAATGCTTTTTGCTTTTTAAAAGTAACATTGAGTGCTATGATAATCAATTATATATATATTTAAACTCTTGGCTATTAAATCACAATTTATGTAATATAATTTTTCATTGCAGAAATCACCGGAGGCTGAGATGGTGGCCTGTGCATCGAAATCAGGTAATAGAAGTTTACTTCCAAAAACCGAGACCTTACAAAGCAACCAAACTATTGTATTTTACTGCACTGTATGATTTGTAGTTCTTCTTTTCTTTCTTTCTTTCTTTCTTTCTTTTTTTTTTTTTTTTTTTTTGTTTTTGTTTGTTTTGTTTTGTTTTGTTTATGCTTATTGAACGATAAATTAAAAACTAAAATTTTTATGCTAAAGAAAATTGTCATAAATTACGAGTGTATTAGATTAGGGAATGAAAACGTTATCGTTAGTACCTCTATTAGAAATAGCAAAATTCTGAATTACTTATATCGCATAAGATTGATGAATTAGTTATTAGTTGATGCATATAGGAGAGAACAATGACAGATTGTATTAATAATGACACGCTTGTTTGTTTGTCGCGAGCGCATAGTATATATGGGCATACGTATGTATATTATAAATCCTTATTGTGTAAAATATTCGTTGCGATTAACTGCGAGTTTAACAATACTTGTAAGGTGTAGATGTTGAGAGATAGATTAAATATTATTATATACATATGTAACGATGAGTAAGCATAGTCCAGACCATTAAGTTATAAATAGCGGTGTGCTTTATTCGTAATACTTATATCATTAATATTTGTTTTAATGCAAAATAAATGATAAATCGAAAATGCTTTCAACTATCATTATAAGTACAATTTTTCAAAGTACATTACAGACTCGTATATCCGTAGGTATCATATAATCGAATAACTTAAACAATTGTAAAATTTACCGTTATTTTTTTTTTTTTACTTTTATTTGTATGTATTTATCCGCGAATATTATTATTACTGTTTTGTATTAGTAATACAATGAAAATGAATGTTTATGTAGCATATTAAAAGATTTTTTTTATGACATATTACATTGTTTTGCTAAATACTAAATAGATATATGTAAACAAAAGAATAATTTTTACAATATTAAGAAATTATGAAATATAGATTAATCGGCCCTAAATATACGCATATGAATATATATATATATATATATATATATATATATACATATATATATATATATATATAAAGTTGGAGCGACAACTTGCTAAAATTTTTTTTTAGTTAGACAGATTTATTACGATTTTAGTGTATTCGTAAATAAGTATTATACATACAATTATGTATAAAAGTAATTGAAATGAATTATATATGTACAAATAACTGATAATAGTATAGTATAATAGACGAGACTATTAGTTATAATTAGAATAAGGAAAAATGCAAATTCAAATTTGCAGAGCTGAGATTGGACGGTTTGTTTTCTATATACAAGTCGAAGCTAAGCGAATTTTGAGATCAATTTATAAGTGCAAATAGCAAGAAATTTTCATAGTGCAATGTCGTATTTCTACGGAATACCATATATAAATAGTCTCAAAAACTGGTGTTTTTTTCATCGGTTTTCTTGAATAAAGTTGTTGGTCAATCATACAAAGATGGAAGTTGAAGAGTATTATAATATTGTAGTATCTGAAGATTAAATAATTACCAATGCAATTTTGTATAAATAGAGACAACAATATGAGAATGTTAAATTATATAACCTGATTATATAATTCATAAAATTATTAGACATTGCAATATACGATAAGTATTTATAAATTTTATTGTATGTATACAATCTATCAGTTAATCAATATGAAAAGCTATTTTCATTTAAATTTCTATCATTGGTTTTCTTCGCATTTGTTATTATTTATAATATTCACCAATTGCTAAATAAATTTTGATTTTCTATGCTTGAACTTCGTGTTAACTTTATTTATCATTTCAACTTGTGTACGATAAATAATAAGGACTTACT